AACTCTTTTTAGCTCTAATGTTCTGCTGGAACTTCTCTGCTGGAAACCTGACTTCCAGAAAGGCTCTCAAGTGTGTCATTTACTGTGTAAGACAGTGTTCTCCAGGCCCCCTGACTGTGGCCGAGAGAGGCTGCAACTAGTTCAAGGGCCACTGCAGGGTTCAGAGCAGAACTGAGGTTTACAGGACTATTGCCCAATGCCCAGGTGGGCAGGACTCCTCCCAGTCCCTGGACGTATGGTGCTGGGTCCCACAGAACCACAAAGGCACTTTTTTGGCTATGGATGATGCTAAATGTTGTTGAAGGGGTTTATGTACGACATGGGCATCTGATCAGGCATGTAGCTGACATCACTCCTCAAGGAATTCTTGAAGGAATGGAACCTAGGGCTTCTTTGTTAATTACTCTGTGTCCGTGGCTAATGGGGTTAGACACCGGGTGCCCAAAACTGTCTTAAGTTAACCAAGTTGCTTGGATCTGTTGATGCACCATGTAGCATAGAACTGCCTCAGATGTCAACTAAGCCCTGGAAAATGATCTGCACTGATGTGTAGTTTAGGGCAGTGGTCGGCAAACTGCGGCTCTTTGGCCCCTTGAGTGTGGCTCTTCCACAAAATACCACGCACATACAGTGCGATTGAAACTTCGTGGCCCATGCACAGAAGTCGGTTTTCGGCCTGGGCGAGTCTATTCTGAACAAGTACTGTTGATATTTGGCTCTGTTGACTAATGAGTTTGCCGATCACTGGTTTAGGGTATCGTATATCTAACTCAAGGAATCAGTAATGGATATTCCAGGGTACAGCCCAACCAGATCAAATTGCTTTCCTCTAAATCATAATGTTACTCTCTAAGTGCCTGGAGTAATCAAAGGGGTTTAAAACAACCTTGTGAAACTAAGTGTTGATTTTTTTTTTTTTCCAAATTGGTTCTTCTTGGATATCTTGTTTCTTTGGTTGTGAGTGAAAAGGTAAGCTGTACTGGAGAGAGTGAATGAAGAAGAGAAAAAGAGATAAAAGAAAATGTATAAAAAATGTGACTAAAGAAGACAGGACCCCCTCCCCCTCTCTCTAAAAATCAATGAAAGTATATCCTTGGTTGAGGATAAAAACAACAAAAAAATATCTAAAGCCAAACCAAGACTCCTTTATAAAATATAATGCATCAGACATAAATTGTTAGAATGTTCTTAACTTGCCCTGACTGGTTGGCTCAGTGGTTAATCACCCCATGGACTAAAGGGTCGAGGTTTCGATTCTGGGTCAAGGACAAGTACTTTGGTTGTGGGTTTGATCCCTGAGTGCAGGAGGCAACCAGTGGATGTGTCTCTCTAATATCTATGTTTCTCTCTCTCTCTCTCCCTCTCTCTCTCCTCCCCCCTCTCCCCCCCTACCCACCCCCTTCTATTCTGAAAATCAATGGGAAAAAATATCCTTGGGTGAGGATTTAAAAAAGAAAAAAAAGATCTTAACTTGAGCTCAGGAATTAGGAGTGATTTCTAAACAAAGCCCTGTTGTTCTAGTCACATGATAAGGACATGTTGTGAAAGAAGATATGGAGTTGCGGGAGACAGGAAAAGGAAAATGAAGACACAGACTAGGAGATCTTAGTTACTCAAATCATGGGAATATTAGAGTTTATTGCCTTGGAGGCAGATAGATTTGGACACTCGTGGAAATCGGATTTGAATTAAGAGCAGAGAGAGATAAGAATTAAGACTTTAGAAGGGCTTGATTGAGCAGTTATGGGATGACAAAGGAGGCACTACTACACAATTAAATTCAAAATTACTTCTGAGATTTGGTTAAAAAATGCCAGAAAGAGTTATTATTTAGTGCCTCTCTCAGACACCACTAATTCTAAATCTTTACGTTGCTTGAATGGAGGCTGAATGGCTGGTGTGTGCATGTACATCTGGCCAACAGCGACATAGGAGCACGTAGCTCATCATTAGCAAAGACTATCTAGTTTACCACATGTCTCCTTTCATATAGCTTTTTCTCTTCTGGTGAGAAGTACTTCAAAAAGTTGCCATGATAAGAATAGAAATGTATGGATATTTTGCTGATTTCAATTTTCTGTTTTTATCAAATCGACCCATTGAAGGGCCAGTCCTGTGACTAATGGCGTGATGTTCTTTCCTTCTAAGCTCATGGGTCAAGGGCATAAGATAAAGATGGGGAATCCAACGAAATGTGCTGACCTCAATCAGACTTTACTGTCAATCCATTGGCTAACTTATTTTCAGCTTGAATAACAGTAACTGTCATTCCTCATCACCATCATCATCAATACCTACAATAAGAAAAAACGAACACTCCTAGGTCACTGACTGTGACTACTGCTCCAATGTTGTAAGTCCCACTCATCAAGGCAGTCCTTGGATCAGCACTCACGAGGCCCCAAGTTAGGCATTTGAACCCCTTTAACTGCAAACACTGGGGAGCTGCTGCACATCTGTGCGGCTGGAGAGGAGCAGATATTCTGTTGGAAGAAGATGAACGGGATTCTACAGGAGCGATTAGACTAGTTAGGGCTTGCGCATCCCATACTCGCCCCTCCACACACACATATGAAAGACTATCATGGGAAAATCTGCCACACGTAAACCATGACCCCCTCAAGGGGCCACCCTACTGTTAGGGGTAGTGGATGAATCCTAAAGTATGATAGTGACGTATGTCTGAGTCTACAGTGGTCTTGTGCACTTGACATCCAGGCCAGCCTGTTGCAGTGGACTCCGTTAGTGCTTGTACAAAGAAAGGTAACTGCATGCAGTATTCAATATGTTTTTCTCTACTTATGTGAATGAACATTGTTTGCCATGTTCCTGTTTCCTGAGTTCAAATAGGCCTGGGATTGTCCCAACCAGCTCTCTCAAAGCCATGTCCTCCTTGATTAAACAATGAGTCTGGCTGAGGGTCCTTGCTCATGGGCACCTGAAGCTTCTGTTAAAGACTAAAATTCAGCAGATGGGGGCTCAGGTGGCACACTCAGCAGATGAGTGTGTGTGTGGTAGGGAGGAGTGAAGGCTGTTCAAACCCTAACTACCCTACTGCCCCCTCTTGAGGCAGATTAGGAAGTTCTAGCTGCTGAAGCCATCAGTTAGGGGCAAAGCTGGGTCTACCAGGGACATGCTCTCGATGAAACAGAGCCCTAAGGAACCACAGACAGGAAGGGGAATGGAGTTGCAGACAGGTCAAGTGAAATCTTCCTCATGAGTGGCACTTTGCAAAGTTGACATAGTCCCTTTACAAATGACTCCTGGGAGGACGGTGACGGAGTGGTCAAAGGAAGTTTAGTCACTAAAAGAAAAGGAACTTTTGATTCAAATGGAGGCCATGTGCCACTATACTCTCTTTTCCCAGAAAAGTCTGGGTAGCCTCTCTGTGCAGATGCCTTGGTGTGTTTTATGCAGCGGTGCTTCCGGGCTCCAGTGCAGCAACATGGGAACTACCTGTGTTTCCCTCTCTGGTCCAGGAACCATGCTGGGCATCCAGACCCTCCAATGGGCATCTGCAGAAGTTCCAGGCATGAGAGGCCTAGCAAGTCTCACCCACCCACTCTCATCGGAAGGGCACAGTCCCCAAGCCCTTGGCTTTGGCTGTTCCAGAACCGATTCAACCTAAATCTGTAAGGCTTGGCCACACTGTCCCTGACAATTTTGCCAGGAAGCAGTTGTTGTGTCTGACACCTGGAGCGGGGGACAGAAGGGCAGGCCATGAAGCCAACAACCTTTTCTCATTTTTTTCTAGCAGCCACTGGAAATGAATCGCCTCCTTTGCCAACACGTCCTACTCCGCTCAGGTGGACTGACCCCCGAGGACTCAGGTACACGAATCCTGTGCGTCTCAGCTCTGGCCTGGTTTCCGCCTCTCGGTGAGTCTCAGCCCCAATTTAATTCCCAGAATCAGAGCAGCTTAGAATGATTTGAATATTATTTTGTATTAAAATTGACTTTTCCTCTTAATTTGTGACTGGAGGCGAGCTTTGGAGAGCAGGCCTTGCGGGAAGAGTCCCTCAAACATCAGTTGTTGGGACTTGGGATTATTTAATATCAAGCCACACTGTTTGGGAAAAATTCCCTTTCCTCTTTTTCCTTTTCTTTTCTTTTCTGTGATAGCCGCCCTGGGCTGCCTCCTCGAAATACTCTCACAGAAAAGCCTGTCTCAACTAGATTGACATTTTCCCCAGGTTAGGAGGTGAGCTGCTTGGGCACAAGCGGGGTGCGGCCGGCCTCGGCCAGCATTGGGGATACAGCCCTGTGAGCCCCCAGCTTCTGTTAGGAGGACAAGGGATTTTTCCCAGGTTAGGAGGTGAACTGCTTGGGCACAAGCGGGGTGCGGCCGGCCTCGGCCAGCATTGGGGATACAGCCCTGTGAGCCCCCTGTGCCCCAGCTTCTGTTAGGAGGACAAGGGGCTTCTGACTGTCCTGTCACCTGAGCACAGACCACAGAAAGAGCCCAGCTCCTGCCAATGAGGGGCTGAAAGAGCAGTTGCTTGAGTCAGGAGCCCACCCCCCTCGGTGTCCTTTACCCCCTCACCCCCCACTTCAGAATGAGGCACCACACCAGGTGAAGAGGGACATGGAACACTTTTTAATGTCAAGTCAGAGACAACCCCTCCCTCCCCTAACCCCAATCCCACTTTCCCTCATCACACCCAGGACCCCTCCCCGAGGCCTCTCTTGGTCCCCAGGCTCCGGGGGGAGGACAAAAGATTATCTAAAAACTGCATTTCTCTTTCATACACACGCACACACAGGTGGGAACTTAAATAAAAGAAACCAAGAGGGTTCAATTCTCCAGTGGTCACAAAGGCATCAGAGATTCCCATAGGGCTCGAGCGAGTGGTTACTGGCTGTTTAGCTGGTTCGGTGGCGTGTTTGTGCGGGATGGAGGGGGCGGCGCCTGGGCGGACCTCCTCCGGGAGCCACACCTGGAACAGAGGCTGTGCCTGGTGCTAATGTCGTTTTCTCGTTTCACTGCGTATATATGTCTCTGACATGTGGATAACGCAAAAAAAAAAAAGAAAGAAAGAAAGAAAAAAAATAGAGGCAGGAGCTGATTACACAAGTACCAGTAAACTCTATCATCTTTTAGAAGGTCAACACACAGCTAACGCCATATACAGCATGCAGTAATGTCTGAGAACGGACCTGCTGAGAAAGAAAAGGGCTAGAACTCTTAACAAAAAAAATATATGTATATATATGTATATATATACTGTATAATATATGTCATCAAAAGAAGCAGTGCCAACAAACCAAGTCGGGTGCAGACACCCCCTTCCACTTCTAAACAGCACGGAGAAGCATAGTCGTGTCTGCATTAAATGCCAGGATGAGGAGAAAGCTGTAGCGCTGGTGGACGTGTTGGTTAAATCATATGTGTGTGTGTGTGTGTGTTTTGTTTTGGTGGATTCGCCAAAGCCTCACCGGGCGGTTAATGCCCGGCGTGGGGTCCACCGGTTGTAAACCTAGTTAAGAAGTGCACTATTCATTTTCATCTTTTTTTAACAAACATACTTCTCGTCACCCCTTTCATGTGTGTGTGGTGTTTAGTGTTGCCTTGTTTTCCAGCTAAGTCCTAGACTCACGTCAGAAAATAGAATCAATAGTGAACCAGAATCCCTTATGATCCACGATGCCCATGTAGTGAGGGGAACACAAAGGTGAACGGGGCCTGTGTGACTGCTGACTGTGGGGTTTTGGTCGCCGTCAGGCTGTTTTGTTTAGGGTCCTTTTTATTGATTTGCTTTTTAAATTTGCGTTTCATAGCACACATGACAGTGGCACAGTCTACAGCGGGGGGGATCCCCGCGGCACATGGGGGCGCACGCCTCACTCTGTGTTCGCTTCTAGTGACGGATTGAATTTGGGGATGGCCGACTCCAGAATTTTCCTTGGCAGGGGCCCTGGAGCGGGCAGAGCAGCTGAGCCCTCGTCCACCCCGGAAACAATGCAGCTGGCGGGCGGGTATCCAGAGCCAGGGGTGCGCTCCTCCCATTTGGGAAAAGAAAGAAAACTCAGCTGTACCTACATATCTGCCCGGCCTGCAAGGCGATCGATTTTTCGATTTCCTTTTGAAACGTGTTTCCCCAAAGTGTTCTTTGTTCCCCTCCCTCAAATTTGTGTCCCAATCGTCTGTGTCTCGGAATGGCGTTTGATTACATCTTAGTTGGAAAGGGGTTTGCTCTTGCTGTCGGAGGTGCCTTTGCTGGAGGGTTGGTGGTTGCAGTGGCGGCAGCTTCCCCGGTGGGGGCGTGGCACTCACATCAAAACTGGCGCAGGAGGAAGACCAGGAGAGGTAGCAGCCAAAGGCAGCCGGCCCTCCTCGGCGTCCCGTTGCTCACCTCGCTGACGGCACCTGGGCCTGTGGAGAGAGCACAGGAGTCACGAGCAGCCAGAGGAAGAGGGAATGGCCATTGCCTGGTCGGCTGTCCTTAGGCCTCGCCTCTGGTAAGCCATCTCTAACTGGGAGCATCTGGTTTGTTCCCGCTCCCTTTGTAGGGGCTGCATGACACATGGACCTTCCACAGCTTCCATCCCATGACACACACTATATAATGGGGAGTTTTCCCTGGCCAGGAGAGCACATGAGGCTCAAGTCCAAGTGTGCTGGTGGCCAGGACTCCTTTCCTGTGTACTAGGCTAAGGCTATGGCTCATCAAGTTCAAGGAGAAGGTGGCAGGTGTATGCATAGCAGACACAGAGCTTCAACAACATAAGACCCCGTGTCATGTGCACCATCACTCAACCACTTCTGAGCACTGCCTGCCTCACCCTTCCCATTGCCATGCAGTGGCTCCACCTGTTGCCGGAAGGACCTGTTGGACACCAATCTGCCTCCCTGCTGCGGCTGCTGCTCGGGGTCAGCGTCCTCCTGCCAATCACCGCCTCTCCGGGCCGAGCCCGGCGTCTGCCTGGAGCACTTGGCCTCTTCCCATCTGGCCTCGCTAATAGCAGACCTAGCTCAGGCATCACGCGCCTGAAAAGCCAGACCCAGCTCCCAGGAAGAGGAGGTGGGAACCAGGAAAGACACAGGTGGCCTCTGGCTGTGTCCATGGACGTGCGGGGAGGTTTAGGTGGAGATGGGGATGCGGAACCGCATGGAGAATGTCTGAGTGGGAGGTGGATGTCACCTTCCCCTGCGAGGCACACGCCACCTGGCCTGCTGACAGACATCTGAAATGAAGCCAAGAATGAGAGGCAAGAAAACTATGCAGTCATAGAATTCCCCAGGAGCTTTCCTATCACTGTGAAGCATAAGCCAGGAGGCACCCTGATCCCAGGGGGCAAGAATGCCCACAACCGATGGAGCTACGGTTCGTGAACAGCACACAGGGGTGTTGAGGCCCAGACGAATCAGGCACCCAAGACAGAGGGACCTACATGCTCGGCTGCACTGAGTTTAATGAGACTGTGTCCCCACTAAGTGCATGTGCTCACAGGGGTGAAGGAACCTGCCTCAGATGCCACACATTGGAGACACTTCTGGCTCCCTGGTTCCAGGTGAGATTAATCCTTGGGATCTAAAAACTCGTGGCTGGGAAGTGCCGCACATATGGTTGTATTTCCTGGGCTGTGGGGAGAAATCTCTGACTACAGGGCAGTGGCTACATCGTCATGAGCTTGACGTGCAGCATGCTCTCCAACGTCCCGTGTCCTGTGGTCCAGGACCTGACATTTCCAATGCCCGGATATCTTGGCAGGGCGCGTTCTCATAATGAGAGGCACAAGGGAGGCTATTTACGCTCCACCCTGCAGGGAGGGGACCTTCCCGGCTCCACAGAACCTAGGCCTCCGCCAGGAAGGCCCTCCTCACAGTCCCTCACGGTTGCCTATGTCACTCTGTTCTCTCCCCGGTATGCTTCTAGGGCAGTGGTCGGCAAACTCATTAGTCAACAGAGCCAAATATCTACAGTACAACGATTGAAATTTCTTTTGAGAGCCAAATTTTTTAAACTTAAACTATATAGGTAGGTACATTGTTATTAACTTAATTAGGGTACTCCTAAGGCTTGGGAAGAGCCTCACTCAAGGGGCCAAAGAGCTGCATGTGGCTCGCGAGCTGCAGTTTGCTGACCACGGTTCTAGGGCAAGAGGCTCTGCTTTCCTCCTATGAGGGATCCCCTCTGCTCTGGACCCCCAAAGTCCTTCAGACCAAGAGCCTGGCCTATGCCTGAGGCTGACTCTAAGGCAGCGGTCGCCAACCGGTGGTCCTTGAGGTCCGAAAGGTTGGCGACCTCTGGTCTAAGGCACATGTGGGTTTTGCAGTCCATGGGACCAGCAGGCATTTGTGGGAGCTGGGCTCCATGTTCTCAGGCAGAGGTAGTGGCTGTATTCCCTCACCCCACGTGCACATGGCTGTTCCTCTCTTGCTCCCCTCAACACTCACAGCTTTGAGACCCAGCTCCCATTCATGCCGGCTCCCTCCTCCCTCTCCCTCCTGCTAGGCATGCCTAGGAGAGGCCCTGTGGGAAGAGAAGGGAATGAAGCACAGTGCCCAGCACGTGGATGCTCTCCTGCATTCCCTCCTTGCAGGCCCCCCACCAGGGGAGATGCCACAGGCCAGGGGCGCAGCCCAGTAGGGCCTGGCTCATTCCTTACCATGAAAGGAAGCCTTGTTTGCGGGTGAGGGACTCTGCAGCATGCAGGGAGGCTGTTGTGACTGGTGCCTCCTGCCCCTGGGCACCTTGCCTGGCAGGGCGGTCTGCAGGTGCTCCTCTGTGCTCAGGCCCATTGCCAAGGGCCTGAGAGTCCCTCTGTGGGCCTGCTGGGTGGCACCACAGAGAGCCCATCAGGAGGGGTCTCGGCCTGTTGTGTCAGAAAACTCTTCCCATAGAAGCAGGAAAAGGCTGTCCAGTGCCTCCTCTTGGCGCACTATTACCCTGGACAAGCTTCAGGGAACTTTCTGGTGCTCCTATCTCCTGTCCCTGACCCACAGGGGCTGTCTCTCACTGTGGGGAGCCTCACCCAGTCTGCCTTCACCCCATCCACACATTATCCCCTCGCCCTAACCCGTGGTTGGCAAACCGCGGCTCACGAGCCACATGCGGCTCTTTGATCCCTTGAGTGTGGCTCTTCCACAAAATACCACATGCGGGCATGCACGTACAGTGTGATTGAAACTTTGTGGCCCATGCGCAGACGTTGGTATTTTGTGGAAGAGCCATACTCAAGGGGCCAAAGAACCGCACGTGGCTCAAAAGCTGTGGTTTGCCGAGCCGCAGTTTGCCGACAACTGCCCTAACCCATCCACTTTCCAGCACAAAGCTTCGCAGGAGGAGGAAACAGGCAGGGGTTCCCACACATCCTCTCCTAGGCAGCCAAGCAGCTCTCCTGTCCCTCCCATGAAGGTTCCCACTCAGGCCTTGACCCCTCAGGCTTATTCTTTATGATAATTCCAGGGTCACATCTTTACCATTGCAAACGGTTCACGCTACAAATCTCCCAGAGTCCTCCGGCCATCACAAAGCCCCCATCTGCCTGGCAGAGTGCTCCACATTTCATAATCTTGCTTTTCTGCCTCCTTAGCTGTTCTTCCTGCCAGATGTCTTTCAGTGTCTCCCTTCCCCCAACGCCGTGCAGCATGAGCTCATGTCACCTGCACACACTCGTACATGCACACACAAGCATATATCCACCAACCATGTTCCTTTCCCTTCTCATCCTCACACCCTCTGTCCCTGTGCCTGAAATGCTTTTTACTCAACTCACACCTTGTTCCAGGTCCTATTCTGGCCTCCAGTCACATCCTCCAGGCAGCCTTCCTTGACTTGCTATGGTTTGTTTTCACAGCACCACATGCATCGCACTATTGAAATGCTTACCACCCTGCATTATACTTCTGATTCCCTCCTCTGTGTCTAATGAGGCCCTTGGTTGGTATTTGATAAGTGCTTATTGGAGGAAAGAAAGAGTCAGAACATTGCCATGCATATAGATAAGCCCATATTTTCTGTTTGTTTTTTTTCATTCTCTTAAGAAATAACTACAACAAAACAAACTCTTGTTCTGCCTTTTGCTTTACCTCAATTTTCTCTTCCGAACACCGTTCCCCTCTTTTCCAGTAAAAGTCACTGCAAACCCCTTGGTTGAGGGAGGTGTAACTCTGGGTGGGACATCAGGTCAAGTGCGTGCAGTTGGGGGGCGGGGGGTCCCAGCCTCAATAGCCGCAAGCACGCTCAGGACTGCTGTCCGCACTCCCACAGGTGGAAACTGAACCTCAGAGCTCCAGTGACTGCCCCCAAGGTCCCTCTGCTTCTATCTCTAAATGCAGTTTTCCTTCCCCCTCCCTCACAGCTATTCCACGTGACTCACTCCTCTGTGGAAAATGCAGAGGGGAGGGAGCACTTGGGCCAGCCCCATCCGGGCACTGGTTAAGGTAGGGACCACACAGGCCATCGCCCGCTGCCCAGCACATGGAAGAATGCTATGACATGACCTTTTGTCCAGGCATTGTGTCCAGTCCTGGGGCAAGACTCTCCCAGAGCCTTTGTGGCCAGGTGACAGCTCTGCCCATCTACCTGGTGGCATGGGCCACACCTGTGAGACCTCCACTAGTCATCCAGTCACACCTCCACTCTATGCTGGATGCCTTCATTGCCTCTGTCTCACTAGAGAGCTGCAGAGGCCTAAAGAGACTATCAGGACAGGATCCAGGACAACTAATGAGTGTCAATTATTCAGCAGAAACATCTGGCAAGAATGAAAGCCTCAAACAAGACCCATTTTATTCCTAGCCTAGTGACTCACACAGACCTTCCCCCTTCCTTCCACTTTCCTCTTCCTCCCACCACTTCCCTTCCAGTTCTAAGTCAGAGCAAGATAGAGAGCGCAAGAGAAAGAGGGAGAGAATGGGGTAAACAAAGGGCAGCATGCAAGGTCTAAGAAGATGGGTGCATTAGAGCATCAGTGCGCAAGGAAAGAGGCAGGCCTGGTACAGGGGCACCCAGATGAGGAGACATTCTGGGCCCTGACAGGTGCTCATTAGTGCTGCCAGCAGGGAAGTTAGACTTCTGCCAGGGGAAGCTACCCAGGGAGAATGGCATGTCCTCGGGGATGGGTTAATCTGAATTGAGACAGCCCCAGGGCCGGGTAGAGGCCCACTGGGCTGCTCCCTGCAGTTAGCTCAGAACAGAAGGCACCTTGAGAGCAGGCAGAGTTTGGCATATCCCATCCTCAACAAGGCAGTAGCTGCCTAGGAAATAAACATACCAACCTTTCCAAGGGGTCAGGGCTGTAGATTTCACTTCTAAAAGAAATGAAAAACAAGCCACTGTTAAGGTAGAAAGCAGTCGGAGGTACCTGCTCGGCCCTCAGAGGGTGTGGAGGATGAGCCAGCACTCCCAGCCCTCTCGCCTTTGCCTCTTGCTGTCCTGACCGCAGCCCAACCCTCATCCGGTTTGCTGGAAAGCCACTTGCCATAATGGGTGAGTTGGGGAATGATATAAATGATGTCCAAATTCGGTTGCTGTTTTTGACCCAAAGAGTGTTCGGTTGACCCAGAGTGCCAACACCTCCCCCTTGCCTTAGCAGGAGACGTGAGTGTATCTTCAAGCCTGAGGCTACAAGCCAATAGATTCTTCTTTGCCCACCCTACTATCCCTTAATTAGGTGAAGTCTGTAGGGCTTAAGTATAAACTTGTCACCCACAAATGAATTGTACTACAGCAATTTGAACATACTAACAGGTACCCAAGCTATGTTTGAGATGTAAAAGTTTGACCAGCATTCATGGATTCATCTTGGAAACACTGCTGAGCTAGACTGCATGAGCCAGATGAGCCCAGAACTTGGCTACACAACCTCTCCTGATGAGTCAAACTATACAGAGTGGGGCCAGAGGGCGTCATCTCTCTGGGCCAACCTGAGGCTCTAAGACCTGCATCTATGTTGCTGGACTTGGTGGGACCTGACTATGGAACCACTGGGGCTCCAGCTCTTCTCTGCTAACTAGACCATCAAATACCCCCTTTTCCTCAACTTCAAGCTCTCAGAACAATCCACAGAGCCTTTTCTTTTGATCACCTGTCTTGAGTGGCCTCAAGTGATGATAATCTCTAATCATCTGCCTCCATTTTTAGCTAGAGGCCTCTGCAGTTGTTCAGCTTGGATAAAAAGAGGATGAAAAATCATTTCACAATGTATCTGTACATCTACGCCCCACAATGTACACTTTAAATGTCTTGCAGTTTTGTCATTTATCCCTTAGCAAAGCTGAAAAAAAATGAGAACATGATGTTCAAGTCTCTTGCGTTGAAGTGATGCCATTCTCTGCAAAGATCTCCCATGCAGGAGGAAAGACAACTTACCTATAACTTGACCTCATCTAAAATAAAGCATTTGACTAGAATCAAGAAGCATACTTCTGCATTCAAGCTCTCGATCTATTCTTAAAAGCCACCTGCGATACCATATCCCTCTTGATCTAAGTGGGCATTAGCAACACTGGGAAGCCACTCTGCTAAAATGTAAGGGGTGGGGGGATCTATGATAAAAAGAGTGATCCAGAGATGATCTTGTGCAGAGCAGGGTGGCCGAGAAAAGACGGGCGTGCTGCTGCCATGCACCTGTGTTGAGCAAGGACCATCCATGGGGTGACTGCTGAGATGCAAGAGACAGCCCAGGAGTTAAGGAGGGACTATGTTCATGAATTGTCTCATTCAGGTTCCACTGAATTGCGTCTCTGTCCCCAGAAGGAGGGTCATGGGAAGGAGGGAGGGTGTCTGAAGAGAGGTTCTTAGAGGGATAGAGCAGTCACAGGCCTTTCACCCCAGAACCCAAGCAGAGCAAGTGCAGGGCCCATAAAGTGACAGGTGCTGTTTCTGGAGTAAGGATGCAGGGAAGGGCTCTACCTGGTCATCTGTCCTGTTGGAAGGCTCAATAAAAGAACAGAATTGAGAGCATGTTTCTGCAGAAGTGATTTTCTGTAGCGTCAATCAAGTTCTGAAAACAACTTCAGCTGAATTGTTCCTACCCAGCTACTCCCCCAAATCTCCAACACAGGCTACTTGTATGAAGGGCAGGACTTTCCTGAATAAGGCAGCCGCATAGGTAAATGCCTGTACTTGCCACCACCCTCAACCACATCAAAATTACTACTAAAATACAGAACCACCATCATCCAGAACCGCCGGAAGCTGGCTGAATGGAAGTCCTACAACTAGAGAAGGAAGGAAGAAAGCGCAGAGACTGGTAGGAGGGGCAGAGGCGCGGAACAGACTGGGCCAGCACCCATGTGGGCTGCTTTCTAAATCCGGAGGGAGATGGTCTCTGCGGAGGCCGCCTGGAGGAGCAAGGGGGCCCAGCCCCACACCACACCCCCATCCCAGGATCCCAGACTGGGAAGAGAAGTCCCTACAGGCAGTAAGTAAAAACCAGTGCGGATTGAGACTCAGTGATACAGAAGCTGCTGCGAGTTAACCCTTGGCTACCAAGAAAACAAATAATTCCCCCTCAAAAAAACAAGCCTGTGTTTTCCTCACTAAGAGCTTGACTAAATGTGTGATTTTCCTGTCACCATATGAATGGCAGGCAAGGTAAAATGGGAGCAAATATTCAAAAGATAGTAAAACTGGGTTGAAAAAAACAAAAGAACCCCACCCCCCAAGCCTCTAAGCCAGTGTCTCTGGTCAACCCTCAAAATAATCTTTTTGGCACCAAAGCCAATGTTCATACCTGAACCCAGGTACCTAGGTAAGCCCAGGGCTGCCTTCTGATTCTCGTGGGCAGGGGAAGGCTTATTTCAGTCAGGATGAATAGATAAACCTTCTAGAAAAAGGATAAGAATTCTATGTTTTTACACCTTCTGGTATTTAGACACAAGTGCCATAGAAACGCTAACTGCTGGCCCTGGCCAGTTTGGCTCAGTGGATAGAGCATCGGCCTGAGGACCAGAGGGTCCTAGGTTTGATTCCGGTCAAGGGCACGTACCTTGGTTGCAGGCTCCTCCCCTGCCCAGGCCCTGGTCAGGGCTCCTGTGGGAAGCAACCAATCAATGTGTTTCTCTCACATCGATGTTTCTTTCTGTCTTTCCCTCTCTCTTCCACTGTTCCTAAAAACCAATGGAAAAAATATCCTTGGGCGAGGGTAAACCAAAGGAAAAAAAAAAAAGAAATGCTAACTGCTGGAGGGCTGGGCCTCATGAACTATCTGTAATCCTCAGCAGGGGAGGACCCATCCTCTCTCTAATGCAATCTCCCCCTCCAGGTGCAGTGTGCTTTAGTGCCCACTCTTTAGGAAGTTGATTTGACGGTCACGGTGAGGCTCACAGGCATTAATCAGCCCACCTTCCCCAGCCCACTGATACCATCGGATCTGACTCCCGGCCTAGGAGATAAAAGACAAAGGGCCGTGATGGGAGACGAACAGCCACCCAGCAGCTGAGTCTGCAGTGTGGGCCCTCTCCTGCCCGCCAGCCAGCTCAGTGAGGGATGGCGGCGCGTCCCCGAGTCCGTATTTCTCATGGCAGGAGTCCGGCCCCGCCAAATATTAATACGAGGGGGTGACAGGCCATCTGTTGTGTTTGCAAAAGGGGAGCAGAGGAATATTTCAAGGGTGGCAGAAAATGCTGAGGAGGGATGAAATCTTGTACAAGAATCTTTCTAGTCTATCCAGAGCGGGGAGGCGAGACAGCTCGGCACGTCCCTTAAAGCGACGCTCCCTGTCAGTGAGATCCAGGCACCTGTTCAAATCTCGCTTGGTATTCCTGAGACAAAGTGAGCAGAACTTGGGGTGGGGGGTGCTCTGAGAGAATAAGGTAGTTCTCTGTTCTGTGGGAGACTGACTAGCAAAGGAGGAGGAAGGGGTGGGGGGCAGACACAGATGAATGAGGAAAAAGCCCCAGATGGCATGCTTGCACGCCTGAGCCTTTCCCCTTGCTTTTCCCCCAGGGATGCATCTTCTAAATGCTGAGGGATCCATGAGGCTTGCCACCAGAGCAGCAATGGTCAGTGACAATTCATTCCCAGCAAACCGCCTAACCCTGTCCCCAAGGCCCCCTCTTTTCTCACTTCTCCGTCAGCCTAGGCTCATTTCCCCAACCCTTTCTTGTTTCACTGTCCCCAAACCTTAATAAACATCCTCTAAAATTAAACAAGAAAGCAAATGCCCAAGATACAATATTTCTCTAAATACTCCTTAGTTGTACAAAAGCATCCAACAGTTACCCTGAAAACCACACTAACCCGAATGTTTGAATGTTCCAGATGCCCACAATCTACACCGTCTGGCCCTTCTCCTTGCTTTGCCTCCACTGAGAAGTATGAGGGTTGAGAGCATCCCGCGAGTCAGAATGGAGACAGGCAGAGAGACCCTTCTTGTGCCAGGCACCGTAGACAGCTGTGCACAGCAGACAGCTGCCGGGAGCGAGGCAGGGCGGCTCTGTCTCAGCAGGTGCAGCCTGACAATGGAGTCCCTGCTTGGGTCCCAGCTCAGCGGCCTGGTAGCGATGTGTTTGCTTCTGGTTGGCTTTGTTCCTGTCTTTGGTGTGGGACAATGCTCCCTCCATCAGCTAAGTGCATCTTCCGTTAAACACTACCTCCCTAGCAACCACCACCTGGTTTAAAGCTCCCATTCCCCCGAGGATGAAGAGCTAAGTGATCAGAATGAGCTTAGTCGCTTCTAAAGGCACATCTTGGAGCAGTAGTGTCTTAGCTCCAGTCTCACGCTTCCCTTCTGCCCTCCATGCCAGGTACTGTCTGATGCCCTCTCTGTCAGATCTGCACATGTGCCTCTCACAGAGGCGCAATCAATGTAAGCTGAGTCATACGTTAAACCTGAATGTTTCCATCGAGTTCACTTTCCCTCCCTATTCCATTCTCTCATTTGTGGTTCATCTCCAAGGCACCCTGCATGGCTATGGTGAATAAGGCAGCCCCCAAGTTTTTCATGATAAAAGCATTTTTCTTGCTCAGTCACTTTCCCATTTCCCCCCACCTCTTCCCCAGCCCTCCAAGCCAAATGCCCTCCTCCAGTGATTGCATAGCTGGATGTGAATGGACGCACAGACTGGTGTGGGTGAGGTGGCATGAGAAAGGCCAGGGGGTGGGGCTGCAGGGTGAGAAAGCCATTCCCCTCCTTGTCTCCACAGCTGCCTTCCTGCCGAGCTAGTTTGTGGTGGGCAGTGCCCTCAAGAGGGGACAGCAGCACACACAGCTGCATTCTCCCACTCAGACAATGTCCACTCTGCCCAAAGCCTTGGCCACAGTCCTCATAGATGATGCTCGCGAGGCTAGTGGACCTTGAAAGAATGCAAAGGATTGTGCAAACAGAGGCAAGAGATGCTGGAGTCTTACACTTGAACAGGCTCTAAGTGGAGGGTGATGCAAGGGGGCTGGGGAGAAGGGCCGGAGAAATGAGTTAATGAACCCTAGGGTACACTGAGAGATGCCCTTGCCTTTCAGCTTTAATGATTCAAACGCACCGCCCAGTTGTCAAAGCCTTTTCACTTCGCGCCCTCAGTTGAATGGCAGAACAACTCTAAGGTACATAAGGCAGATCAATTCCCTTTTGTAGAAGAGGAAACTGAGTCTAAGCAACATTTAGTGACTTGTCCCTGAGCACAGAACTGCTAAAAGCCAGGCTTTGAACTAGATCTCAAGGGCATCCCGCTCCAGACAACTGCATGCTGAGGAGCGAGCATGTTGTGCCATCCCCTCCTCTCCCCCCCACCCACCTCCCCTGCTCCCAAGAACCTCCCTGGGAACCATTTTAGGGAATATTTGAACCTTCCAGTACCTGGTATTTGCCACTTTGCTGAGCGTCCATCAATAGGACCCGGGTTATGAAAACTGCTCAGTGGGTCACAGCTGTCTTCCTGTTGGTCCTGACTCAGTCCCTCAAACTTGTGGGTCTCTGGGCCTGGAGATGCTAATGTTTGGTTTTTTTTCCTTTCCTCCCACCAGCCCCTCTAGAGAAGTGTGGGCAAGGGTTTCACCAACTCCCAGTAACCACCTTAGCTTCCCCTGCCATCTTCTAGGCCACTTGACACATAGGAGCCTCAGGTAACACACAGAGGGGCAGGGGACGGGTACGGGGGAGATGGGGACAGGGAGGGGGAGAGGTAGAAACCATAAAGCAAGGGGGATACTGACCTTGCAACAAAGTTGAGCTTGTGGGCTCATTTAGTTCTAAATCGGGTGAGGGACATACAGGAGAGAAAAATGAAAACAAACACATATATTATATACAGTAGCTATATATTGGCCATATATAGTTTGTATACTGCCTTTCACAAACATCTCTGGAGCAATGGATAAATAAAGGAAGACACAACAACCAAGGTGGTGGGACACAATGCAGCGTGGGGGACACAAACGTGAGTGCTCTATGCCTCCAAACTTGGACGTGAAGGCTGGGAAGTGAGGGGGCTGGAGGCCGGCACATTGTCCTGTGCAGATGCTTCCACCCTTAGCTTGTGCTAAGCTGGGTATGGATATGGTAACAAAGGACTAGCGTTTTTTTGTGTGTGTTTTTTTCTAGATGATATTTCTGTCCCCCAAGTCCAGATTTTGTTCCCCCCAAGGCTCCAGGGGGGGGGAAGGAGGTCCCCCAGGAGCCACTGTGAGTTGGGATGCCAGGGGCAGGACTCAGTCCCTGCCATGCCTGCAGTCTTAGGGGTCAGGTGCTCAGAACCCTATTGGTTCTGGGCCCAGATAGGAAGGGTCACCCCTGCCCCCATTTGGGCTAGATTCCGGCCAAGGTGGGATTCTCCCAGCACCAGCCTTCCTCACTTTCCAACCTTCGGGTCAGGTGGATGGGAGTGCTTAGGTGGTAGCGTAGCTGGCTTGTTGTGATGCTATGGAAGAGTGAACCTCCTCACCACGTCTGCACATTCCCATGTCTGCACATTCCCATAAAGTAAAGGCTGCTTTAGAACTTGCTGGATGGCTGTGAGCTGAGGGGTCTTTCCAAGGATAGAGAATGACATGGAAACACTCCTAATCGGGTAATATTTGTCCAAAGGTCTTGGTGGTGGTGGCCTCGATAATGAGCTAGGGGGCTGCAGGGGCTGCCCGAGGGGCCTGGAAACAGTCACCTGGCTCAGGGATGGAGTGTCCCGATTTCCAGGGAACCGTGTCTCCCCTGCAGCATTTGTGTGGAGGGCTCCTCCGAAACGGTCTCTCTTTAGAGACTAAAATACTGGCGTCTGTCTGATTAAATGGGGAAGATGCTACAGACTTTCCTCCCTGGAGGTTTAGCCTGTACAGGCCCCGAGACCTCTTGCATTGAAGAGCAACCCGTGTGTGCTCCATGCATCGGTGCTTGACCCAGATTCTCTGCATGTGTGTCAATACCTGCTACCATTTTTAATGTGTTCTTCAAAGAGAACACTGGGCTGCGGGAAGCTGGAAATTGTAGCAATGCCCCCAATGCCACACGGGGTGAATGCCCACAGAACAGGGGTGGGGGTGGCGGGGGGGGAATGACCATAGAACAGGGGTCTGGGGGGGGGTGGAAATTTAGTAGTCACACTGCAGTCTGCTGAAAAGAGCGAATTACAGATACATCCTCTTTTATCTTTCTTGTTTCATATTACTGTCATTTCACTTTTAAAGTTTTCTTTTTCTTCCTGTTCTCATCTTAAGGGGAAGAAGCCAGGGGATTAGGTAGGAGCGATGAAGCCAATTGCAACACCATTTCATGCATCCAAATCAGAAGAGGGAGGTCAGAGGTGGAGGGAGACTGGGGGACCAG